ATGAACGAGAGGTCCACAAATTGAGCGATCAAACCTTCCTACAGTTAGGATTGTCTCAAAACACCCACTTGGTCAAACCTTCTTACAGTTAGGACCACAGTCAAAATCCCCTCTCGATTCCCCCAATGAACGAGAGGTCCACAAATTGAGCGATCAAACCTTCCTACAGTTAGGATTGTCTCAAAACACCCACTTGGTCAAACCTTCTTACAGTTAGGACCACAGTCAAAATCCCCTCTCGATTCCCCCAATGAACGAGAGGTCCACAAATTGAGCGATCAAACCTTCCTACAGTTAGGATTGTCTCAAAACACCCACTTGGTCAAACCTTCTTACAGTTAGGACCACAGTCAAAATCCCCTCTCGATTCCCCCAATGAACGAGAGGTCCACAAATTGAGCGATCAAACCTTCCTACAGTTAGGATTGTCTCAAAACACCCACTTGGTCAAACCTTCTTACAGTTAGGACCACAGTCAAAATCCCCTCTCGATTCCCCCAATGAACGAGAGGTCCACAAATTGAGCGATCAAACCTTCCTACAGTTAGGATTGTCTCAAAACACCCACTTGGTCAAACCTTCTTACAGTTAGGACCACAGTCAAAATCCCCTCTCGATTCCCCCAATGAACGAGAGGTCCACAAATTGAGCGATCAAACCTTCCTACAGTTAGGATTGTCTCAAAACACCCACTTGGTCAAACCTTCTTACAGTTAGGACCACAGTCAAAATCCCCTCTCGATTCCCCCAATGAACGAGAGGTCCACAAATTGAGCGATCAAACCTTCCTACAGTTAGGATTGTCTCAAAACACCCACTTGGTCAAACCTTCTTACAGTTAGGACCACAGTCAAAATCCCCTCTCGATTCCCCCAATGAACGAGAGGTCCACAAATTGAGCGATCAAACCTTCCTACAGTTAGGATTGTCTCAAAACACCCACTTGGTCAAACCTTCTTACAGTTAGGACCACAGTCAAAATCCCCTCTCGATTCCCCCAATGAACGAGAGGTCCACAAATTGAGCGATCAAACCTTCCTACAGTTAGGATTGTCTCAAAACACCCACTTGGTCAAACCTTCTTACAGTTAGGACCACAGTCAAAATCCCCTCTCGATTCCCCCAATGAACGAGAGGTCCACAAATTGAGCGATCAAACCTTCCTACAGTTAGGATTGTCTCAAAACACCCACTTGGTCAAACCTTCTTACAGTTAGGACCACAGTCAAAATCCCCTCTCGATTCCCCCAATGAACGAGAGGTCCACAAATTGAGCGATCAAACCTTCCTACAGTTAGGATTGTCTCAAAACACCCACTTGGTCAAACCTTCTTACAGTTAGGACCACAGTCAAAATCCCCTCTCGATTCCCCCAATGAACGAGAGGTCCACAAATTGAGCGATCAAACCTTCCTACAGTTAGGATTGTCTCAAAACACCCACTTGGTCAAACCTTCTTACAGTTAGGACCACAGTCAAAATCCCCTCTCGATTCCCCCAATGAACGAGAGGTCCACAAATTGAGCGATCAAACCTTCCTACAGTTAGGATTGTCTCAAAACACCCACTTGGTCAAACCTTCTTACAGTTAGGACCACAGTCAAAATCCCCTCTCGATTCCCCCAATGAACGAGAGGTCCACAAATTGAGCGATCAAACCTTCCTACAGTTAGGATTGTCTCAAAACACCCACTTGGTCAAACCTTCTTACAGTTAGGACCACAGTCAAAATCCCCTCTCGATTCCCCCAATGAACGAGAGGTCCACAAATTGAGCGATCAAACCTTCCTACAGTTAGGATTGTCTCAAAACACCCACTTGGTCAAACCTTCTTACAGTTAGGACCACAGTCAAAATCCCCTCTCGATTCCCCCAATGAACGAGAGGTCCACAAATTGAGCGATCAAACCTTCCTACAGTTAGGATTGTCTCAAAACACCCACTTGGTCAAACCTTCTTACAGTTAGGACCACAGTCAAAATCCCCTCTCGATTCCCCCAATGAACGAGAGGTCCACAAATTGAGCGATCAAACCTTCCTACAGTTAGGATTGTCTCAAAACACCCACTTGGTCAAACCTTCTTACAGTTAGGACCACAGTCAAAATCCCCTCTCGATTCCCCCAATGAACGAGAGGTCCACAAATTGAGCGATCAAACCTTCCTACAGTTAGGATTGTCTCAAAACACCCACTTGGTCAAACCTTCTTACAGTTAGGACCACAGTCAAAATCCCCTCTCGATTCCCCCAATGAACGAGAGGTCCACAAATTGAGCGATCAAACCTTCCTACAGTTAGGATTGTCTCAAAACACCCACTTGGTCAAACCTTCTTACAGTTAGGACCACAGTCAAAATCCCCTCTCGATTCCCCCAATGAACGAGAGGTCCACAAATTGAGCGATCAAACCTTCCTACAGTTAGGATTGTCTCAAAACACCCACTTGGTCAAACCTTCTTACAGTTAGGACCACAGTCAAAATCCCCTCTCGATTCCCCCAATGAACGAGAGGTCCACAAATTGAGCGATCAAACCTTCCTACAGTTAGGATTGTCTCAAAACACCCACTTGGTCAAACCTTCTTACAGTTAGGACCACAGTCAAAATCCCCTCTCGATTCCCCCAATGAACGAGAGGTCCACAAATTGAGCGATCAAACCTTCCTACAGTTAGGATTGTCTCAAAACACCCACTTGGTCAAACCTTCTTACAGTTAGGACCACAGTCAAAATCCCCTCTCGATTCCCCCAATGAACGAGAGGTCCACAAATTGAGCGATCAAACCTTCCTACAGTTAGGATTGTCTCAAAACACCCACTTGGTCAAACCTTCTTACAGTTAGGACCACAGTCAAAATCCCCTCTCGATTCCCCCAATGAACGAGAGGTCCACAAATTGAGCGATCAAACCTTCCTACAGTTAGGATTGTCTCAAAACACCCACTTGGTCAAACCTTCTTACAGTTAGGACCACAGTCAAAATCCCCTCTCGATTCCCCCAATGAACGAGAGGTCCACAAATTGAGCGATCAAACCTTCCTATTTATTCTGCAGTTTATAAGTATGGTTTTGTGCTAGCAAGTTTCGATATCAGCAATATAATATTTTTGCTGCTTTTTCTGCATTAGTCTCATGCTATAATAATGATGATGATATGTAGCACATGCACTACTCGTGCTCTGCTATCTCTGATCATCCTCTTTCATTTGTGGTGAAATGAATTGCTGTGTGATTATTCAGCTGCTATCTTTTCTTCTTCTATTTTTTACAGAGCACAATGTCACTGGTAACCAAGCTATAGTGGTGAAACGTAAGATGACTAGCCCGTTAACTACCAGCACAAGGGACATGGTTGTTCTTTAGTATAAATTTAGAAGTGAGAATCATACCTGATGCAACGATTATCTATACTAATATAGAAAGAACCAACTGGGGTATCAAAAATGGATGAATGGCGGACAAGTCCTGCTTTATAGTTATGCACAAAAGGGCAATAAGATAATTTTGGCAATTTGAAAAGATATAGCAAAAAGAATAAAAGAGTACTTTGTCTTTTTCATATTTTATCCATGTTACATTTTCTTTCTCATATACAAACATTAGCTCTTCCATCTCCTCTAAGTTCAATGTGAGAGAATTGGGGAGTAAATTTACAAATACCAACACTCGGATGGTAAATAGAAGATTTAATGCTATATGTACAAAAACTCTTTTTTTTTTTGTTTTAAAGGATAAATCTTACGTTTGGGGTTTTGCACAAAATTCTTCTAAACTTTATTCCACAAAGCCTCCTTAACTTGGGTACTTTCACAAAATCCTCTTGAACTTTAAAAAAAAATGTACTACTAACGGAGCGAATAAAAAAGCGACTACATGACAGCGAAAAATGAGATTACATCTCCACTATATTTTTACTTGTCGCTTGATAGTTCTAAACTTATGATAGTGAAAAATAAGATTACATCTCCACTATATTTTTACTTGTCACTTGATAGTTCTAAACTTCCTGATATTCGAACGGTTGTTATTTACATTCAATCTGCATCTCTTATGAATAACTCTCCTATAATTTTATTGTGTTAGTGAAGAAACAATATTAAACATATTTTAGCTACAAGTATGATTCAAACATTTGCAGATATGTTGAGTGAAGTAACTGGACATCCAGTTAGTCCAAGCTTTGTTGACAGGTTTAAAGCGCGTACTAAACTTCCTGAAGAGGCTGCTAGTGTTCTAGATCATGAAGAGGCAAGTACCTTTTACACTTCGACATTTCTTAGCCTTCTTAGCTCTTGAACTGGTTTCTGTAGTGTTTTCTTGACTCGTTTCAGTTACTTCTTCTTTTTCCTCGTTGCTTTCTTCTCGCTCTCCTTTGTGTTCTTCTGCCTCTGATGTGGCTACATTCTGATTTTTATAATAAAATTGGGTTATTTCCTTTATGTTAAGCTATTTACTTTGAATAATTGCAATATCTTTTTTCCCCAATTTTATTATTTCATGCTATTTCATGCTATTGCATTAGCTTTTTTCCCCAATTTTATTATTTCATGCTATTTCATGCTATTGCATTAGCTTTGTACTTGTAAACTCATACATTTATTACCAAGGATCTTTCTCCCCTAGCTTTGTACTTGTAAACTCATACATTTATTACCAAGGATCTTTCTCCCCAGCAGATAAACATGCACATATGCCTAAAAGAAACCGACCGAACCCCTGACCCATTTCTGATAATAGAAGCAGTAAGTTTGACATCGCAAACAGGCACCAGTATCTGAAACCAACATCGAACTCATCCGAACACCTGATAATCTAGATCACCAATGGCCTAACTTATATGTGCATGCCCAGTGCTTTTTGTATACATGCAGTACATTTATTATGTGAAATATACAAATGGTTACATGTTTGGGAGCATCTAACGATACACAAGATATCACTAGCTGTACATGTTTGGGAGCATCTAACTATACAAATGGTTACATGCTGCCCATGTGCTTTCAGAAAAGTATGTGATAGTTTTGTGATAATACCTCAAAAGAGTCCATGGTAGTCACTGAGGACGACATAACTCATATGTTTTAGTGATTTTATTTTATCTGAAGATTCATGGTAATTTGGTAAAACGTAAATAAAAGTTCATGGTATTTAATTCATTGGTTGTCTTTAGATAGCATATGGTAACATTTTTCTGGTATGAAAGTTTTTGTATTTTTCTTGAATAAAATAGTTTACGATATTTTTGGGGGAGACCCCTTCTAATTCTTGTTAGTTATGTGAAATTTACCTCAAAGTTGACATGTAAATAAATCACTGGGCCTTATTTAGTCTCTAGATGCTATTTACACAATGACGTGGAATTCTGAAAACACAAACACTAATTTGATGTTTTTGTCCTATTTATCACAGTATGGCATTGTGTTTGTAGAAGTTAAATCCTGGAAAAATATGACGGGAAACTCAGTACTTCTTATTTTCGCTGAGGTTTTCTTGATTGTGGATAGACCCCTGTAGTTCTATTGTTAAAAATAGATCATTTGAGTGAACTATTTTCTTCGACCAATATTTAGCTTAAATCAATCCAGAATTGGCCTAGCCATCATCTGTTCATATAACTAAACCTATTTAGTAACTAAACTGGTTTATCGCCGCTTTGTCCGAATAATGTTTAAGTCACTTAAAAAAGACCCCCTTCGCTCATTTCATCACGCTTCTGGTACTCATGGATCAATATGTTCTCTTAACTTCCTTTTCAAACATCTTTTTTCCCCAATTTTATTATCATCATTGCAAAAATTATGCTGATTCATGGAAATTTACACAGGTACAGAAATGATGAAAGCCAAGATTGAGATTGATACTGACAGGTTCCTAGTGAGTATTTGACATTGAGGAACAAGTTTTTGGAAACAAATAGAGAATATAGTCTTTGACCGAGAAGTTTCATGTTTTGTAATCAAATGTTGATGTACATTGTTTGAATGTTAGTTCGGTACGATATTTTCTGAGTTGAAATGTTGGTAGTATGGATTTAATACTTTGTAGTTTTTATATTATACTGATGTATGTTGGCACTTATCATTATGGTTGATTATGCTCAACATAATCACTTTTTATATTGTGTATTAAAATTTGACTTGGCCATGTTCTTAAAAAGATTGTCCAGGTAATTGAATACTATAATTATTTTGATGTAGGAAACCAAGAACAACTTCGATTGAGCAGTTGCAATAGCTCGATTAAAACCGTTGCGATAGCTCGATTAAAATTGCTGCGATAGCTCGATCCAAACTGTTGCGATAGCTCAATCCAAACTGTTGTGTTAGGTCTTTTAAAACTGTTGCAATAGCTCCAACTGTCGCCGTAGCTTTATCAAAACCATACTTATAGCCTACTAAAACCGTTGCGTTAGGTCTTTTCAAACTGTTGTAATAGCTCCAACTGTCGTCGTAGCTTTATCAAAACCATAGCTTTAGCCTACTAAAACCGTTGCGTTAGGTCTTTTAAAACTGTTATAATATCTAAAAAAACCGTTGCAGTAGCTTGAAAACCGTCGCAATAGCTCAATCAAAACCGCTGCAATAGCTTAAAAACCGTCGCAATAGCTCAATCAAAACCGTTGCAATAGCTTAAAAACAGCTTGCCTTTTAAAACCGTTGCGTTAGATGCGGGGGCAACGGTTCAAAAAACCGTCGTAATAGAGTTCAAAATCGTTACGGTAGAGGTAGGGCAACGGCAGCATATGAGGCGGTTTGAGAACCGTCGCACTTGCTCAAGGGCGACGGTTCCATGGCTAGCGCAACGGTTTTGAACCGTTGCGTTAGAGCAAATATGTGGTAGTGGGTATTGAGACACCTCATGATGACCCTCTCATCATATTGGCCAAGATCAACAACTTTCGGGTCAAAAGGACCTTAGTCGACACAGAGAGCTCTACTGATATCCTATTCATTGATGCCTTCAACCACATGAGCATCGATAAATCCAAGTGGCCACCTTGCCAAGGTCCCCTCATCAGATTCATAGGACATTCGTTCCTAATAGAAGGGATGATCACTCTTCCCCTAATGGTCGATGAGAAACCTCACCAGTCCACTGTTCAAATACAGTTCTTGGTGATGAACGTCAAGTCCGCTTATAATGTTATTCTTGGAAGGACTTTTCTGAATAGCTTGCATGCAGTCTCGTTCACTTACAACTAGATGGTGAAGTTCACGGCCCCAGAAGGAGAGTCAGATTCGTTAGGAGCAACTAGTGAGATGTCAGATCCTGCTATTTGCTTTTGATAAAAGGGAAAGGAGTGTTGGAGATCCTGCCGACTGAGAAGACGCGTCTTCAGATAGAGAAAGAGCTAGAGCGGGAGCGAACGACTTCCATGGAAGAACTGCAAGTAGTACCGATCGACCTAGATGGATTAAGGAAGGTTAAGATTGGGTCAAGCCTCATTGAGCCTCAACGGGGAGCTGTAAGCGCGTCCATGCGCAAGAATGCAGATGTGTTTGTATAGGGACTGATACGGGTGTATCTTCTCTTTGGAACTTAACGATCCTCATGGGAGCTTGAGGATAGATGATTCTCATGATAACATGAGAATATAGGTGTAAAACAGTACAGTGGAACGCAGGTGGAAGCGTGGAATGAGACGACGAGCAGCAGATTCGAAGAATCCAATTTTTAGCTCGTGAGTCAACTCATACATGTACATGAGTCGACTCATCAGGTTGAGTCGACTCATGCTTGTCATGAGTCGACTCACGAAATCAAACCCTGTTAGCAAAAGTTTCTGACCAGTCGACTCATCAGTTATGAGTCGACTCATATGAGGTCATGAGTCGACTCATCTCAGTCATGAGTCGACTCATCGGAGCTTTCCTGGTTCGTTTGAGTTTCTGTTCACACGAATTCCTGTTGGTTTTGGGCTTGGTTATTTACCAGATTACCATCCACGTTTGTACACCTATATAAAGGATTGTTTTAGGGTTTCTAAGGAATCAGAGGTTATTAAGAGAGATTCTAATCATTATATTAGGGTTTAGAGAGGATTGAGAGGTTGTTCTCGATTATAGTGAGATTGTGAGGGAGAGATTTGTAATAATTAATTCTTCATAATCTAGAGGATGTATTTTTCTTCGCCATACTGAATTGTTCTTGTGTTTTGGATGTCTTCTTCTCAACCCACCTTTTGGTAATTACGCGACCAAAGGGTGCTCGCACGGCGACTCGTATCAAGTTGGTATCAGAGCAATCAGATCCTGTGAAGGGGGCATCCTGTGTATGATCCTTACTTGATCACAGTACAAGAAGCTTGGCGAGGTCCTTATTTCCTTGGAAGAAGTCCAGAAGATAAGGAAGATAAGGAAGGAGAAGATGGCTGAAGGAGACAATTCAGCGAGGATTAATGCATTAGAGAAGCAGATCGAGACGATAGGTTCGACTCTCACACAACTCGTCAGTCTTATCCATGGAGGTGGCAAACAAGGTGAATCTTCTTCGAAGAAAATTATTGAGTCCGATGTGGAGAGAGTAGATTTAGATTCCGACAAGGAGGAGGAGACCGTTAAGGCTGCATTGCATCAATGGGGTAAGAATTCTTATCAGAACCTGAAGATTGACTTCAAGGTGGAGATTCTTGTTTATGATGGGAGTGTTGACGTCGAGAGGCTTGATGACTGGATTGAGCGGATGGAGACGTATTTTACTCTTTATGGCTATTCGTCAAAAGAAAAGATTATGTTCGCGACTTTGAAGCTTTCAGGGCACGCGTTGACATGGTGGAAATCCTACTACAAGCAGGAGAAGAACGCGGTGTCATGAAACAAGTTCAATGAGTTACTGAGGAAGCAGTTCTACCCGGTGGGATTCCTTAAAGAGCGTTGGTATAAGTGGTACGACTTGCGCCAAAGGGTCAATTAAACCGTTCAAGAATACACCACAGAGTTCCAGCAGCAGGCGATGGTCCTCAACATTACGACAGAGTAATATTTCGTGTTTATGAAGTATATGGCGGGATTGAGCGATTACATCCGAAAGGAGATGAGACTATTCACGATGGAATCAATTGCAGAGGCGAGCGTGAAGGCTATTGCCCTCGAGGGCTAGCAAAAAAAGGGCAACGAGGCTAAGGGAGACTCCAAACAGACGGGAGGCGAGTCTAGTGGTTTTCAATCTAAGGAGGAGAAGAAGAAGGGTGATACAGGGAAAGCATGGCTGATTTGTAGTCACTGCGAGAAGACAGGGCACACAGCTGATCGATGCTGGGAGAAGTATCCTCATCTCAAGCCAAGAGAGTTGAAGAAGAAGGAGGAGAAAAAGGCATACATGATAGCTCAAGGCCCGAAAGAAGTCCCGAGGATAACAGAGCCCATCAGCAGTCTCAACCTTATGGCGGGGAAGCAGACCACGAAAGAGGACGACGACGCGAGAGAGCAACTCTTTGTTCTTAAGTTGCAAGTGAAGACCAGTTTGGTTGATGCCATTGTTGATTCGGACAGTGAGAAGAATTTGATATCTGAGGCATTGGTTCAGAAGTTGGGTCTGAAGACGGTCAAGCATCCGAAGCCCTATCCATTGGGGTGGATTCAGAAGGAGGAGAAACTGAGTGTAGTTGATCAATGCACTATCATATTTGCGCTCCACGAGTCGTATATTGACGAGATCACGTGTGACTTCGTTCCATTGGATGTTTGTCAGATTATACTGGGCAATCCGTACTTATGAGATAGATATGCGATCTACGAGAGGCGGGCTCAGAAGTACACCTTCACTAAGGATGGTAAAAAGTTCATATTTTATTTGGCATCTCTTCCGAGGGAGACAAGCTTGGGGACGGTGATGCGAGCGAAGAGACTAGTGAATGCAAGTAAGAAGTTTGTCTCGCTGTGCATTAGACTTCCAGAAAAGCCATCGCCAAAGGATTGTGACTTAGAGCGAATGGTGACTACGACGAGATGCGTGATGGATGAGATGTTTTCGATCGGACGTCAAGACCGGATTCCTAGCAAGGCCAGGTGGTGCAGAAAAGATGGAAGAGCTCAAGAGTTTCCTCAACAAAAGTTCTAACTTGAATAAGACTTTGAGTTCCTAAAGAGGAGACCCATGATACGGGTGTATCTTCTCTTCGGAACTTAGCGATCCTCATGGGAGCTTGAGGATAGATGATTCTTATGATAGCATGAGAATAGGGGTGTAAAACAGTACAGTGGAACGTAGGTTGAAGCATGGAATGAGAGGACGAGCAGTAGATTCGAAGAATCCAGTTTTCAGCTCGTGAGTCGACTCATACATGTACATAAATCGACTCATCAGGTTGAGTCGACTCATACCTGTCATGAGTCGACTCACGAAATCAAGCCCTGTTAGCAAAAGTTTCTGACCAGTCGACTCATCAGTTATGAGTCGACTCATATGAGGTCATAAGTCGACTCATGTCAGTCATGAGTCGACTCATCGGAGCTTTCCTGGTTCGTTTAGGTTTCTGTTCACACGAATTCTTGTTGGTTTTGGGCTTGGTTATTTACCAGATTGCCATCCACATTTGTACACCTATATAAAGGATTGTTTTAGGGTTTCTAAGGAATCAGAGGTAATTTAGAGAGATTCTAATCATTGTATTAGGGTTTAGAGAGGATTGAGAGGTTGTTCTCGATTCTAGTGAGATTGTGAGGGAGAGATTTGTAGTAATTGATTCTTCATAATCTAGAGAAAGTATTTTCCTTCGTCATACTGAATTGTTCTTGTGTTTTGGTTGTCTTCTTCTCAACCCACCTTTTGGTAATTCCGTGACCAAAGGGTGATCGCACGGTAACTCGTATCAGGGACCCAAAGACATGCCGTGAATTCTCCTCGAAGTAGTCATTAGCTCTCAATCGACCAATATAGCAAGCCAGTCCGACAAAAGAAAAGACATCTTGGCACCGAAGGGTAGAAAGCGACCATGGATGAAGTCCAATGACTACTCAGAGCTAGCTTCATTAGAGAAGCGTAGTACCTAGAATGGCTATCTAATGTGGTGCTGGTCAAGAAGTCCCTTAACAAGTGAAGGATGTGCATGGATTTC